TTGGCACCTCAATCATCTTAGCTGAGGTTTCTCTCCACTTGTTAAAGAAAGAGGTGAAGCCTTCATTCTCTTTCTGTTTGAGGATTTCATGTTCTCTATGGTCAGTCTCGACTTGAATGTTGCACTTGTACCTATCAACGAAAGCGTTTGCTATAGACTCCCAGGTAGAGGTCTTTTCTTTCTCGAGAGAAAAGAACCATTGTTGGCAAACGGTCTCGAGAGATAGCGAGAACAGAGAAGGGAAGACCTTCTTATCGATACCCTTGATACTCATTATTGTTTCAAATGCTCTTAAATGAAAGTATGGGTTGTCAATTGCTCTGAATTTTGGGATGTCGTTGGCGTTGAACTTCTGCGGAAGAAGATCTTTGTCCACCGAGACCCCTTGTGATGTAAGCTCTTGAAACTTGTAGTCGCTAGACAACTTGCTTAGGCTCTCTTGCATAAGGTCCATTTTTTGTTGCTTCACGGGATCATCGATCCTAAGTGCGAGAAGTTTCAGTGTCTCAGTCACAGTAGCCTGTTGGTTCTTAAGATCATTGACTTCTTCTTGAGTTGCCATTATAACCCTTGCTTTCCTCTTGCGAGCTATAGGTTTGTCGAAAAGTTGGACTTGTACGAAGAGGTTATCTTTGATTAATCGTCCTTCCTTTCTTGACCACGCGCTGTAAATTAAACCATTTTGCGTTTTAATTACTTGACTCGAATCAACTTGACTTTATGGTTCATTTTAAGGGAAAAAAAAGAAAAAAGGAAAAAAGGGTGCATATTTTTGGCAAAAATAATGTACATATTTTTAGGGAACTAAGTATTATTATTTTTATGTTGGAGGATTAATATCCGACTTACCCCCTTAAAAAAAATGACGGAAAAACGCGCACACAAGACTCTCTTAATCATGGTAAAAGTATGTGTATTGGTGTGTGCGTTGAGTGTAAGTGACATGCTTGGACTCTTGTGTAAGACCATGGGACTTAGTGCCTAAACTCGATCATTGATTCAATTAAATATTATTGACAACAAAATTAACCGAATTAAACAGAAAACTGATTAATTAGACCCTAGGTGATGACTCGACAAATAATCCGAACTGTCGGCCAAGCGACAGGACTGGCGTCACACTGTGGAGCTTGGCGCCAGACAATATATCTGTCGTCAGGCGCTACACACCATAGCATGGCGTTACAGCTCAGACCTTGGCGCCAATAGTGGAGCTTCGGTCTGGGACTGTTTTCGGTGTTATTAGTCAACTGGGGTATGCCTAAAGTCGTACTGGGTCAATTCCGATTAAAATATTAGACTTTATTGATTCAAATTAAATAATTAATTAATTAATTGGGCAAAGTTCTTTAAGTCATTAATTTATTTATTTAGTCTTAACACAAGTCAATAAACGGTTAAGAGAAACATAGAATGTATATGCACAACAAATAATGCACAATTAGTCAAATAGGCACAATATGATGCAATGCGTTCGCAACCTAACCATGGCTCTAGTTCTCTAAAGTTCGGGATATGGTTTAGTCAAAGAGGGTCCATGGTTAATTGTCCGGTTGCACCGCGCGGAAGCCTAACCGTGAAGGGTTGGCGCGAGTGGATGGGACACCGCAAGCTTTAGAAAAAACTCGCTTCCATGGTTTGGTGAATTCAACATCTCGGATGTACCCTTTGTTGCACGGAGCGTTCAATCGGGTAGATGGAGCATGAATTCCCAGAGGGTTATGTCCATATGTAGAACACATATGGGTTTCAGAAAAGTGAGAAAAAATTCAATCAAGAAGTAGGATCGAGCAAACAATACAAAAAACCGGTCGAAATTAGAACGCATATTTCTGGCTCGGTATTGGAGGAAATTGGCGCCAGCAAACAGAGACTGGCGCCAGTTTTTAACTGTAGCGCCTGGCGCCAATGCTGGCGTCTGGCGCTACGGCTAAAAGTCTGGCGCCAAGCTCTGGCCCCTGACGCTACTTCCCACATGCCTCAGCAGCTTTCTGTGCTCGATAAAATTTTCCAGTTTCGCGCGGTGTTATTTCAGTCCTAGTTGTGAAAGACATTCCTCAAATTTCCTACGTGTAAAATCCTATGTTTTTAACTCATTACGGATGGTCTTTCCAATGAGATATTTTTTATGCATATGACAATAATGTTAATCAAAATTACGCACGTGAAATACTTAGAACTTTTCGAGTCTCACGCACTCATTCTAAATCATTGCCGAAACAAATTCAGGAATTAAAATAGAAATCCTCCCCAGTGGAGTCGCCAAAAAACTGTAGGGAATAAATTCAAGCCTTAATCCCACTAGCTTGAACCCCACTGTGATCATACACTAAAGTACGGTGGCGTCCAAAAGGGAAGAAGATAGAGCAAAAGAGTCGCCAACAAGTTTTTTAGGAACTTGTAAACCGTTCATAGGATGAAGGTTACACCCCTTAACGATCCAAGAGATCGCCAACTCCATAAGGTCTAGAACCAAATAAGGGTTCGGGGATGATGGTACAAATCCAACCTAAAAGAGATTGAACCTGCCCTAATAATAGGCCTCTACTTTATTCTGCTCGTATTCATGTGCGCTTTCTGATTAACATGCAATCAATAGGATTAACCCTAAACCATTTTAATCTATGTTGGTTGAATTTAATGCACAAATAAACCCTCAGAAATTAAACCTTTCACGTCTAGGGCAAAGGCAACTTCGAATATGGCTAGGTGCTTCTAGATCTTGCGAATGCGGAATTTTGTATAAAAAGTAAAGTAAGAAAGAATGAAAGAAATAGATGAATAATCAAGAAAACTTGATGAGAATTGGTGAATGAATGGAGAGAATTCGTGAATGAAAACGGAGTTTTTAATACGATATTTATAGAGAAAATCAGCCAAAAAAGATAAATTAACAAAAACAGAGTATGACGCTCAGGAAACAGAGCTGGCGCCAACCCTGGCTAGCTGGCGCTAGGCACCAATGGCTAGCGCCAGGCGCCAGTCCTGGTTCCAGGCGCCAAGGCCTGGGGTCAGACGCCAAGCTTGATTTTAACGCGTTTTCGAAAATCCGATAAGTTTACCGTACTGGAGGATAAAATAATATAATTTCTTCGAAAATGCTATTTGATTTTGATTAAAACTTTGAAAAGTCAACAAAGGTCAATTTATCAATGCTAATTGAATTAGGAATGAAAAGAACCTTCTAGAAGAACCTAGAAGACTAAAACCATTCCTAATTGCATTAGGAATGATAAATCATATTAGGCCCTCCTCTAGATCATTGGGCCGCATATAAAGCTCAAACCGGGCCAGTTTGGTAAATTGGCCATAACTTCCTCAATATTCATCGGAAAGGTCTTTGCAATCCCCATCCAACTACACTACTATCGGACCCATATCATGGACCAACCAAACTGGATTGACTGTTTTCTTAAAAATAAGTTTTCAAAAACAGAGAGAAGAGAAAAGAAAATAAAACTTTCCGCAACACTAGACCTTCCACACTTTCGTTTCATTCGATTATGATTCGACGTGAAAGGTACTCATCACTGGGTTTGGTTTTGGGGAGACACAAATGGGTGTCTACACTAGTGATGAATATCTTTAACGTCATTTGATTATCGAACGAGGTGAAATGTGAAAAGTCTTGTGATGCGGTTGTTTTAATAAAATACGTTCTTTCTGTTTTCGAAAACATTTCTTTTCTTACTCTATTTATGAAAAATGTCCAATCTAGTTTAGTTTGGTCCATGATAAGGGTCCATTAATGGTTTAGTTGGATGGAGTTTGAAAATATCTTTCCAACGATATATTATAAGCCCAATTATGATGAATAATGAGGAAGTTATGGCAAAAATATTAAACTGGGCCCAAACTGGATTTTACTTACGACCCAATGATCATGTGGAGGGTCCAAAAGTTTAATCCCATTCCTAAACTAATTATGATTAATTAGAAGCTTCTATGAGTTTGTAAAAGATCTTAATTATCATTTTTGAAAAGATAAAATTAAAGAATTTGAAATTGAATAAAAACTTTCCTTTTTTAAAACTTTCCTTTTTTAAGTCCTAATTCTATTCTAATTTCAAGATGTTCAAAGACAGTCAGATATTTTTTTTTTGTGCCTCATAATAAAAACTTTCTTTTTTTTTTACCAACTCATCTATTAAGTCCCCAAACTTTGCCCAAACATCATTTTTTGTCGTAAAAGATGCCGAAATTACTACTAAGGCATTGTTTGGTGCTAGCGTTTGAAGTAGTGGTTAGCGTTTTAACCAGTCAAAACACTACTAAAAAAATACGAGAGTGTTTGGTAAGGTAGCGGTTCTAGTCGTAGCGGTTAGCGACAGAAGTAGCGTTTGGGTAGCTTTTCTCAAACGTAAAAAATAGTAGCGTTTAGAAGTAGCGGGTAACGTTTGATAATTTTTTATTACTTTTAAACAATATTTATATGAATTGTGATATATTTTAGTATTGCAACCGCTAATTTTGCCAAACAATCATATTATCCACCGTATTTTGATAGCTAACCTCTACCCACTAGACAACTACTCGCTAGCATAAAACTACCCGCTACTCAACCACTAAAAACTACCTGCTACCACTACTGTTGCCAGACAGGTAATAAGTGATGTTTAAGGACCAATTTTAGACTTTTTGAATTTGAAGGACTTTTGCTTGACTTTTGTCAAAGTATAGGGACCTTATCTGTAATTTACTCTATAAATAAAGGACCGGACGTAGTAATTTTTTAGGCGAAGAAAACTTAACCGGTAAAAATTAAAAAATGGTTAAGTTACCAAAATCCGGAGGGAGTGGAACGTTACTTAAGACATATTTTCTGGGCAACGACAAACATGATAGCTGTCAAAAAATATCGTAATCATTCGTGCACCGGGACCCATTCCCCAAGTAGCCAAGAAGGTAAAACCCCGCATGTAGGTCCCAATTCTGAAAACACGGAGACTCATAAATTTTTTTACCTTTAAATATTATTATTAATAATTAATATTATTCCACCGAAAAAATTATCCTCATTCATCAACTTCGAAAGTGGGAACACTAATACCAACTTTCAACTTTTCCTTTGTTCGTCCATTCATTCATCAGCTCGAGAAAACCCCTAAAACAAAATCCTTTTTCAAACCCATTTTAAAATTAATCCCAAAAACATAATAAAAAAATAAAAATGAAAAAAGTTATTCTTAAACCCTTTACTTAAAGTTGATTAATTAAACAATAATCGTAATACTGGTAATTAAGCATGGAATCTTTGATAATATAAAAAGGGCACTCTTTTTGCCCCATTTTTTTTCTCACTCTTCACAGTCACTCTTCTCCTGCCGCTTATCACTCAAAATGGCACTTACAACCTGTTGTGCTGCTACTACTGCTGCTGCTATTCTTTTCTTCTTGGTTGCTAACTTTGCTTCAGCTATCGAAGATGGTACGCCTTTCTAATCCTCTGTTTTTTGCAACTTTCTGCTTTCAATAAGTTCTTAGCATTTATAATGGTGAAGATCTACTCTTATATAAGCTGGATAACAATGTATACAATGAGTGCTCAGAAACAGTTGTCGTGTATACTATTTTAGAATGTCGGGAATATATGTCAAGTCTTGTGACATTTCTTAATGGCTATTGTTTCATTTGATTATGTTTTAATTTCGGAACATATTGCGCTCAACTGGGGTAAAATGTTAGTATGTTTGTATTTTAGAGCTTTTGAGTTTCCGATTTTCAGTCTAGAAATGTGGTAACATTTTAATTAAATTGTTAAGGTGCTTAATTTCCTCTGTTATTGTTTATAATGTGAGAAATTTTGTTAGAGTATCATATCATTTGACAATGGTTGGTGCTTGTTGTGGTCTTATTGCTGAGAACCTTGTGTTTTTCCTGTCCTATTTTTCACGTTCTTTGGATGATAATAGTCTGACCTTTCTCTAACGAGAAATTATTGTATAGTCCAAAACCAATACTCCGGATGTTGTGTAAATTTTGTCATTGTGGTTGATATCAATTTATCATATGGTGTGTAAATTGTGTCATTCTGGTTGATATTTTGTAATGTCTAATTTTATCTGTATTACATAGTTTTGGACCACCACATTGTACGGAGTAGTTCGACTAATAATATATTAACTCAAGCTAGTACATAAATGCTTCCTAAAAATGTCCATCATGTTACATAATTAGATTGTATTGGTATAAATTTTTCAAATTCTAATTTATAATTTTAACATTTGTCTAGATTATTTAGGCATTGATAGTTTTGATACAACTTGTTAGAAGTGGAATGACCAACTTGTTTGTAATACTATGCTTAACTATTGAAGAGCCAAAACTTTTCACATCATAGTTCAAGTCAAACAAAACATTACTGTAGGATGCGAGCAATACTCTGTTGTGTGTTTTGTGTGATGATCTCTCAGCAAATGGAAGTGATTTTTGTTGTAAAATTTCAAACTAAGTGGACCATGTATAAATTTTCAATCTTGGACTAGTGATAAAAGTTTTAAGTGTCCTGTCAAGTTAGCTAAAACCGTGTTTACTTGGGAGATCGTTAATTGTTATGACTAATTGTCACTTCTTATTGTACATTTCTTGATTAAGGTTACTCACTGCAACTTCGTCTGAAACACAATGTCGCGTAGACATGCTCGTACAACATTATAGTAGGGCATAATTTTACTTAATGCCCTAAATGATCTTACTCGCTTCTTCATCTGTGTTGAGTCCAAATATTATTGTACTTCTGGTAAGATCTGATTTTGCTCGAAAGTTGAGAGGAAGAGAGTCTAGAGACTGATTCAAATGAAAGACATTTAGCCGAGTATGAAAAGATTAGTTGGGTGTCAAGTAGAAGATTAGTTGAGGGAATAACAAGACTGGTAGGCATAAACCTTTTTCCTGAATGATCAAATTTGTCCGAGTAGTCTTCATCGCACCAACATCAATGCATTTAAATTTAGAAAGTTGAAAACTCAAATTCTTAAAGATTGTAGGACCATAAAGAGTCATAGTATAGCTTAGAATCTGTTTGGTGATTCTTTTCATCCATAATTGGGAAGTTAGTGATGAATTATTGCAAAGTGATCATAAATGTTGATGTCAATTGCATTTCCATTTTAACCTTGAAGTACTCTGAAATGCTTAAGTTTCAATGTAGCTGTTAATTGCATTTCTTTCTATATAACAGAAGTAAAGAATCTAAGTACTTTGTAATTGACTTTCGCAACCTTCTTTGAAGGGCAACAGAGAGTGGTTGCATATCCTTCAATGTTTTTGTGGTCCAAAACTGAAACCTCCCAAATGTTTGATTTACCTAATCATGAAGTTACATTCAAGTCATAAATTTTGATATGTCAATTTATCAAAGTTGCATGTAGAGGACTTTAAAGTATACACAAAGGCATAAAAGAATTTGCAGACATGATATTTGGTTTCAGTCCAATGTACTTTACATTAAACATTTTGATATGATAGTACTAGCCCAACACTTTAATAATCTTTATGTTGAATCAGCTGTTACATGCCATGTTAAGCACGGCCGTGTTGGTTGTTGACTTGTTGCTCATATACTAGTAACTACAGAGTACATACTACATGCCATCAATAGTACCTTGAAATTATTGTTATACTTCGTATGTTTTTTATGATTGAGTTAGATATGATCCACACGCAATTTTTCATGTTGCAGTTTAATTTTGCATCTATTATTCCTTATCCTTATAATTTACCATTGGCCTTGCCTGTGTATCTAGACCAAGTTGCTGAAGTTGGTCTTTAAGGGGTCTGTCGTATAAGCTCCTTAATACTATTCCCATTGTTAAAAGTTCTCAATATGTGTTAACTTTTAGAGATGAACAAAAACATTAGTGTTACGGAATAAGAACTTCTAGGTAGTCAGGTACGAACATTATATAGAATAGTATAGGCTCCCTCTTTCGAGAAATGAGACCTTTTCGACTTTAATTTCTTGGTTGATTTTGATGTTCTTCAGTGATATCATTTGAGAATAGATTTGGGATCTCGACCACTAAGCTGTAGGCCCAAAAGTGCTGTAAAAAAAGAAGCGAAACAGAAAATAGTAGAGTTTCCCGCCAAAATTATAGGTGATTATGGATTATCTATAACAAATTAACAATGATGAACAACACAGTAAACGGCAAGTCTCTTTTTTCCCTGAAGAGCGGATAAAAACAAAGGTTGTTATGGAGATTCGAGTACTACCTTTTAAGCGGAAATTAGATGATGAACTAGCTTTAGTTTGTCCAATAAAAAAAAATTAAAAAAAAATGATGAAGTTAATGGTCAATGACAGGCAGAAAAACGGGGAATGAGTTTACGACTATGAGACAAACACTGGTCCCATCCGCCTTGCTCTGTACGGCACTATCATATCACTTTCTGTCTTGGATTTCATTTCATTAGCCGTTATACACCCGACTACCGAGTATATCATACAATAAAGATATTATATTCATTTACTTGTAATTTGCTCAAATGCTTTCTTGTTCACACTTTTGAAAAATATAAAAGTATTGCGAGTATGTGTATAGTTTTGAGCTAATGGCGATGAGTTGATGATTTGAAATGAAGGTTGTACTCCATATTTTAGTTCTTTTACACTTATTAATGTAAAACTCTACCTATTATCTCTAGTTTATGTTTGTAAAATTTAAAAAATACTTCGTAGTTAATGTTTGGAAATACTCTACAAGACCACAACATATTAAGACAAATTTAGCAGAATTCCATGTGAATACAAATACAGTACAATTTTCCTTGCAAATAAATTGTGATAGTTATACAAGTAGAGGAAGTTGTTGATAATGTCAATATTCTAAGTTTCTAACCGTAAAGAATTTACTCCGTATAAAAGGTTTTTGGTGACAAATTTCCATTAATACTTGTACGAAGTACTTATGAAAATAAAGTATGATCAACATATACTTAAATCAAATTAACCCATTAATTTAAATATTATATAGGTCTATTAGTAAATGGAGACTTCGAGACCCCACCAGCAGGAGGATTCCTAAGCACAAACGACGGCATAGTAGACGGGCCCACAACAATTCCAGGCTGGCAATCAAACGGCACAGTAGAGCTAGTCTCATCAGGTCAAAAACAAGGTGCTATGATCCTAATTATCCCAGGAGGAACACACGCCGTCCGATTAGGCAACGAAGCTCAAATCACGCAAGATCTAAAGGTCGAGAAAGGCTCAGTCTATGCTGTTACATTTAGTGCTGCTCGTACTTGTGCTCAACTTGAGTCACTTAATGTATCTGTTGTCCCTACTCGAGCATCCTCAGCCGTTGATCTTCAGACTGTTTATACCGATCAAGGGTGGGATTCGTATGCTTGGGCTTTTGAAGCTGATGATGAAGATGTTAAGTTGGTGTTGATGAATACTGGTATGGAAGAGGACCCCACTTGTGGACCTATTATTGATGATGTTGCTATTAAGAAGATGTTTGTTCCTGATAAGCCCAAAGGTATGTTTATTTTTGCTTTAGCTTTTACTTTTTTGCATGCACTTTACTCACTTGATCGAGAATGTAGGTTTGATATGTATGTGCAAATACATATCAAACATTAAAATATTGAAAAGTATTGTAAAGCACATGGGGGTGGGAGAAAAGGAGGAGAGAGATGGGCACGTGGGACCAGTTTTAAATGTACCACTGAAAGCTTATATAATATCATTGACTATGTAGTAATTCTATTTCTACACGTAGTTAGTACCACTGAATGAATATACAGTACTATTGAATGAATATATAGTACCACTGAATGTTCAATGATACTATTTGATCATCTATTGATACTATTAATCATCCAGTGGTACACTTAAATTCAGCACATGGGGGTGAGAGAAAGGAGGAGAGAGATGGGTAAATTTCATGCGAAATGTCTCTTATGCCCCTTGATATGTATGTCCAGGTACCTATCAAACCTCCCTTTGGAAGGCCTCCACTTGATCAGGCCCAAAGGTTTCTCAGTTTCTTTGACAAAAAAACAAATAATATATATATATATATATATATATATATATATATATATATATATATATATATATATATATATATATATATATATATAGGGGAGAGATCCGGTAAGAATAGGTTAATATGTGAGAATTCATACTTATATGAGAACTGATTTTAAATTTAGAACATGTGAGTAAAAGTTTAGAACATACGAGTAAAAAATTAGAACATGCGTCTGAAATTAAAATTTAGAACATTTGAGTAATAATTTAGAACATCTAAGTGAGTAATATGTTTAGAACATTTGATTTAAGAATTAGAACAAGTGATTAAAAATTTATAAAATCTGCTTTATGAAATTTTAAACATATGAGTAAAATTTAGAACATTTGATTTAAGATTATGAACATGTGAATAAAAATTTAGAACAAACAAATATAGAATATAGAAAGAGTGAGTAAAAAATTTAGAACATACAAGTAAAAATTTAGAACATACGAGTAAAAATATAGAACATACGCTTTAAAATCTGGAACATATAATTAAAAATCTTAGAAAACACATTTTAAAATTTAGAACATATAAGTTAAAATTTTGGAACAAGTTATTTAAAATTTATGATATTAAACTTAACTAATTTATGGTTTAGAACATGTGAATACTAAATTAGAACAATTGATTTAATTTAGAACACCTAAGGAAAAGTTTAGAACATCAAATTTTAAAATTTAGAACATAGAAGTAAAAATTTAGAACATAAAGAGTGTTCTCACATAAGAAAAATTCTCACATAAGAAAAATTCTCACGAGAGTCTACCTCTATATATATATATATTGATGGGAAAAAAATAAAAATAGTTTGCTTGATCTGAACTTTAATAATAATTAATTTAAAATTAAATATTTGTGAATAAATAATTAATCAGTTACAGCCTTAATCCTGTAAATATGGTCGGTTATATGAACTAAAAGTGATTTCTCCTTTTTATCTCTAAATTAACAGTAATACTCCGTACTACGAGATAAATTAGTTACTCATTTTGTTTCTAAATAATAAATTAACACATTTTCACTACACAATTTATATTTTTAGTGTTTAATACGAAATATGAAATATTATTTTAAAAAATATATAAATTGTGAGGATTTGTCACTAATGCAACAACATTATACTTAGTACTCCCCCCGTTTTTAAATATTTGCTCCATTTTTGGACAAATGAATAGTGCCAAAAATATAAATGGAGCAATTATTTAAAAACGGAGGAAGTATATAATTTGCTTTGTATATAGTACTTCGTATACAAATTTTTATTCCAAGTTATTGATCACTTTTGAATTTAAGCTTTCAAGTTTAGTCCTTTATTACAGATATACAGTATATTAGTATGGCATGTATAGTATGGAGAACGATTCTCTTTCAACTCAATCTTTTGTGCACAACTTCACAAGGGAAAGTATTTTATTTCGAAACAGAGAAATTACAAAATCATTGCATTTCTTAACATTTTTTTTTTTGCTTACAGGTAACGTAGTGCTCAATGGCGATTTTGAAGAGGGTCCATGGTTGTTCAAGAACGAGTCCCTCGGCATCCTTATTCCAACCAATCTCGACGAGGAAACCACTCCATTACCGGGCTGGATTGTCGAATCAAACCGTGCAGTTCGATACGTGGATTCATACCACTTTGATGTTCCAGAGGGAAAGAGAGCTATTGAACTCTTGTCAGGAAAAGAAGGCATCATATCACAAATGGTTGAGACGACACCAAAGAAAGAGTACACCCTAAGCTTCTCAATGGGACAAGGCGGAGATAAGTGCAAAGAGCCCCTAGCTATCATGGCATTTGCTGGGGATCAAGCACAAAACTTCCATTACACACCCGACTCCAACTCTACTTTCCGTCGAGAGGGCCTCAACTTCACTGCCAAGGCTGACAGGACCCGGATTGCCTTCTATAGTGTGTACTACAACACGCAGACTGATCATATGAGCTCTCTTTGCGGTCCAATGTTGGACGATGTAAAGGTGTGGGGAGCTTCTGGTTCTTCCAAAATTGGTGTTGGAATGTTTGGTCTTGGGTTTTGGATTGTTGTCCTCATTTTGGTCTAGAATTTAGTTAAGAGGTTAGTTATTAAGTGGGGTGTTATTTATAAATATATATGTATGGTTATGAGAAGGTTGTAACTTTTCGATCTATAGCGAAGGCTATTAGATAACAGCTGCTAGTGATAAATATGTAAGCTTTGATTATATATATATAGTTTTAGTGAGTTCTATATTAATCCATCAAATTGAAGTTAGAATAATGTACTAGTTAGTAATTACCCTTTCCACCACTAATTGAATGGTGCTGAGCTGAATAACACTCGCTCGTATCGATTTTATGATTTTATCGGGGGGGAACAATAATGAGTCAATGACTACTGGTATACCACTATACCATAACAGCAAGCACAGTAAACACAATCTTCTTCTTCACCTTAGTCAGTTATTAGAGGTGAGCCATCTTCCCCATCTCAGCATGAATCCTGTCCCCACAGTTGTAATATGTTAATTTTTTAAAAAATTATTTAATTTAATTTTTTTAATTTTGGCCAATGGTGACACTTGAACCCCTTAGTTAGGTATAAAAATGGTTGATTACAAAAGGTAGAACTCTAACCCTTTGTTTGGATAGGAAGAAATGGAAGGAAAAGAAGAGAAGAGAAATGGAGGGAGACAAAATCTCTTGTTTGGATAAAAGATTGGGGGAAGGAAAGGGAAGGAGAGGGAGGGATCCATTTTCCCTCTCTCTTTAATAACCATAATCTCTCCAAAATTGGAGAGATTTGGAGGGAAAATGGAGCTCACTTTCCCCTCCCTTTCTTTTCCCTTCCCTTCCCTTCCTTCATTTTCCCTCCCCTTCTTTTCCTTCCTTCTTTGCTATCCAAACAAAGCGTAAATGTCGCCCTCAAATCTCTAACTAACGCCCACATTTATAATCTTAAATTACATTCTTACCCTTGTTATAAAAAATTAAATTTACCTCAACTTACCACTTTCACTATCTAAAAAACTTTAATAGAAATTATAATAATCATCATATTATATCACTAATATATAAAGCAATTACATAGCCAGGCCACGAAGACACTTGGCATTCTAGTTTTTCGCCTAGTGTCGTGCCACATTGGCGAAATATAGGTATTATTGTGACACATATATATGATGCTAAGTAAGTGAATTTTTGATAGAGTTTTTTAAGATAAAAATGTCATATCACTAACACTAATATATAAAGCTGGTCTCGCAGACAAGTCACGAAATAACGACACTTGACATTCCAGTTTTTGGCCAAGTGTCGCGCTATGTTGGCGAAATATAGTATTATTGTAACACATATAAAATTTTAAGTAAGTGAAATTTGGATGGATTTTTTTAAGATAAAAAGGTTATATAGTATTTTATTATCGATACACTTCTAGTATTTCATATATATACAAAACTAATTATAACTTTTAATAAATATCTTATAACAAAACACTATTTTCATCATTAAATTCATTTTAAAAAGTTCTTATAATATATTTTAATAAAAAAAAAGAAAATACGTAAAAAAAAAAAAGTTTTAATTAGAAAAAAATGATTTTAATTTGATAAAAATACTTTCAGTACATCAGAAATAATTTAAGTTCAATAAAAACATCTCAAGTTAATTATAACATAGATATTTATTTACAAATAAAATTACAAAAAGTACAATATTATATAAATATAAGCGTTATGATATCATATGCCTTAATACTTTACATTATCAAAAGGGGTTATTATTAATCGTATTTAAGATAAAAAGTTTAGGACAACCATTATATTAATCGTATTTAAGATAAAAAGTTTAGGATAGCCAGGAGCTCAGCAGAAGTAAAACAGGTTCTCATATTCATGTGCGCTTTCTGACTAACATACATCCATTATATTAATCCTAAACATGTTTAATATGTGTTGGTTGAATATTAATGTACAAACAAATCTATTATTGGCGATCACTTGAATTAAAATCATATTAGTCTAAATAAAATTATTAATTATCTTATTAAGGGTGATTTCAAGTACAAATTCCCTTTAAACCTGCAAGAGAGGGCGTGATCAAGCAATAACAATAATATCAAACAACATAATAATATTAACAATAAATCATCATCATCATCATCATCATCATCATAATAATAATAATAGTCTTCTCAATAAAGCATAATATTAGCAAGATCTTCCCCAGCAGCCTCAACCTTAGCCCAAAAGGCGTTGAAACGAGCCTGATGCTCCTCACTCCCACCATAGGGACCGCTTACACAGCGGGCCGCGGCCTCCCAACCTCCATCAAGGCGATCAACGAGCAGCTTATTAGCAAAAGTAGGAGGAAGCAAGAAAGACCTAAGTGCCTCCTTTTTAGCATCCTCAAGCTCATTCTCTCGTCCAACCCATTGATTAGCCATCTCAGCCTCCAACGCTTGCACTCTGGCCTGAGAAGTTACCAACTGTCCTTCGCAATCAGCTAGCTTTGTCTTGGTGAGTTGGAATGTTCCCAGATGAAGTTTCAGGGCATCCGCCTTCTCTCTTAAGGGAGTCACCTCACCAGCCATTGTATCCCTCTCAGAACGAGCCTGCTGAATCTCCTTATCCTTCTGAGCAAGGGCCAGGCCTTGGTTATAGTACTCCTTCTCCACTATAAGCAAGGTATAAGCCAAGTCGCTAACATAATTGGTAAGCTGCAAGCAAACAACAAGACGAAAATAATCTAAGGCAGGAAGTAAAAGAAAGTAGGCCAAGGCGAAAGCAAGGAAAAACAAGATGAAGCAGATAAGCAAAACAACAAAAGCAGACTAAGGCAACAATAAGAAAATAAGCAAAAAGGGGAAACCAAAGAAAAAATGCTAGAAAAATAAAAGTTAACCTTCTGCAAGTCATGGCACGCAGTGGTAGTAGGGAAACTAACTGAGCTGCTAGTAGAGTCAGCAGGGAGACGAATGCCCTGAGTAAGGCGGTAGCCCAAGGTTCCACCGTTTTATGGGTTGCCCACAAACAAGGACTCATCAGCCCTAACATTCATTAAAGGGCGGAACGGAGCGTTCTCAGCCCCAGCAGGACACAACAGAGGGCGAAGGGAAGCATTAATGGGAACCTCTCCAAACTGTGTAGGTCCAGTAGGAAGAAAAATGCCTCTAGCATAAATTGAGGTCGCAGAGAATGGGTTCTCAAAAGCATCACCCAAGAACTAGTGAACAGGGTAATTAAGCTCACTAGAGTTCTAGGTGTCAGTCTCCCTAGCAGTGTTCACTCCAAGAATCCTAGTGTTGGTAGAATGAGAAGCGAAAGGATCAACAGCAGAGGAAGTACGAGCTTTTTTAGTAGCGGGCTGATCAGCATCAGTTGAGGGAGAGACCACAAGATCATCCTCCAAATTAATAATTGGATGATCCTGCTTGTGTGAACCCCCAGGTTGAGAGTGCCCTCCCCTGCTAGCGCTTCGCAGGCACCTTGCAACCTTGAAGGGCGAGGTGAAATCTTTGTTAGCTCTATAATAGTCTCATCTGGGAGCTGAAAATCAAAAGCCTTAATAGAAGGACCTGTAGCGTCCTTAGCAGCAACGGTAGTACCAATGCTAGGAGAATAGAGCAAAATATGCTCAGCAAAAGTTGTGGGTTTCTCACCCACCACAATAGTAGTCTTAGCGTCTTCAGCGGGAAAATTAAGAATGCTATCAGCAAAGTCGTCAACATTATTTTTTTAATCATCAAAAGCTTGATTTAGTGGTTCATTTACAACAGAAGTCTGAGGTGCCACCTGGCCGAAAGCCACAGTTGGACACCTCTCAAGAGAAGCACCATGCGCCACTAATGCCTTAGATCCTGAAATAACTTCCCTGGGTGCAGGACGAGTTTCCCTCCGACCCCAAATAGTGGAAAAGGAAGGCTCAGCTTCAGCACGACTAGATCCTGCACGATCAGCAGCGGTTACAGTGCCAAAGACAGCCCTCAATTCAGCTGGGGCTAAACGAACTTCACCCTTTATAGAGCCAGCATAAACCTCCAGAGTCTCAAAAAGCTCAGGATGATTATCAGAGGTAGTAGTAAAAGGCTCCTTCCAGTTGTCCTTCAACCCAAGAATTCCCCTATCCAATTTGTCATAACCTGAAAATCAGGCAGAAAAAGAGACAAAATAAAGGACATAAGAGCATAGTATAAACAAAAGTGAAGAGAGAAAAACTCTTACAAATAAAAGGCAGAACAAAAAAAAATCTTACCAGGCTCATGGGTAAAACACAAGCGCACAACAAAAACTTTGCATTCCCCACAATGTACAAGGAGTTAGGCAGCCAAAACTTAGGAAACTTAGCATCACTTATGGCCGCTTCCTGGAGCATATCAAAAGCATCTGTTTTGCGAGCATCCTTAGTGGGGGGAAACAGTCCTCCAACCATATTAGTGCGAATCTCCCTGAAATTGCGTGGCACAGCAAAAAAGAAGGCACTGCAACCCAAAAAAACTTGCCAGTCCAGTCTCTAAAACGGTCAAGTTTAGGGTAAGACAAAACTCGAACCTCTTTGGGAGCCACGTAATACCACCCAGACTCGGAACCAGAAGATGACCTTTTCAAGATCATTAGAGATTAAACAGAAGTAGTGATTCTGGATACCTCTAAAAGCGCACAAACCACAATAAGCATATCAAAGTGTGCAAAGAAGTCAAATGCAGCAAAGCAATACAAAGGTTAAAGACGCGAAAGACCTTATCCAAAGTAGGGTCAAGAGGGAATCTCAAGCCTAAGTCGAGTTAAGAAGAAAAGACTGCAATATGAATAGCAAGAGGAGCAGATAACTTAGAGCCCTCAACTAGCAAAACTAGTTTGTAGCCCTGACCAAAACCATAGAACTTTTTCCCCGCCCAGAGCAGCAAGGTCCAACTTCCTTGCATCGTTACACTTGTTGGAGTCCAGCACATAATTCTTGGGGCCATGACACCTTTCGTCTAAAAAGAAGTCAGGTTTTCCCTCTTCAACGGGCTCCTCCACGTAAATGGGTTGACAGTCATAAAAAGCACTCTCAACAGGACATTCAGCCACCTCGCTCATATTCACACCTAGAGAATGAGATGGTGAAGAAGTTGCAGCGTTTCCACCCCGGAGTACATAATGGTCAAACCGGTACACATCAACCATGTCATCAAGCCAAGAAAAACTATTTTTAAAGGCTGAACATGGGGAATGGGACTAACAAGATAAACATCAGGGGGATTAGCCTTGACCTTGTCAGCTAAAATATTGT